TCGTGCTAATTAGGTTTTCGTCGGCCCGGCCGTTTTAATAGTACCATTAAAAATTCCTATACTTTCATTGTTGGTTGATCTTTTTACCCTCGGTTTTTTAAGCTCCGCTCTACCCAAATTTGAGCAATTTACTTTATAATTAATTACAAAGTAAATTGCTCAAGTCGAAATGTATAATTTTAAAGAATTTATGTGTACTGCATAAAAATAAATGGTTTTCTCAAAAGCGCTAAACAATTTTTAATTTAAAAGCATTGCTGTAACTAAAAATAATTAGACTTATAACGAACTGAATGATTTCATAATTCTTATACTTATAACCTTACTGAATGATCTATTAAGTAATTCATTAGCAAATAGAGATAAAGCACAACGAGAAACAATTTATAATTTATGTCACATGATTTGTACATATTTGTATGTGATGATAACCAGAATAAGACATATCGCAACCTTCATTTTGCCTAATAATGGCATTTCAGGGACGCACATACTTATCCGACACGCGCATTTCACGTGTTTCCCTAATAATCGAACTGAACATTCTCCTGGAATTGCTCTGCTCCGGAGCTCAGCTTTCTAGGCAAATGCAATTGTTTCATTCGAGACTGGCATCCATTAGAATTCTGCCAGATTACATTAGGATTATTGTCTGTGCGATATATTACCCGAAAACGCACATAGCAGTAATATGAAAACACGCGTACTCCCGTTCCGATCCAATTCGGCGAGGGACGACGATGCCAATACCACAAATGCTGAGCATGGTGATTAGAGGAGACAGAATAATAAAAGACCCAAAATCAAGAGTGGAAATTTCACCAGTTTAATGAAATTTTCCAAATTATTCAAAAAACACTCCATGACAAACTATATCCTGATCTACCCATAAAAGCAAATGCAACACTCTTTTTAATCATGTTTTTTGTGTTCTTCGTACTGGAGAATCACACCTGGTTAGAATGGAGCAGATATAATTTGTTGCTCTATCAACTCTCTTTATTATAACAAACTTTAGTTAGAATTAATATTATACTTTTTATTAGAATATAATTACAGAGTTTCTATATTTGATTTTTTGAAGAGAATTAAAATCTTTTTTTTACATCCATTTGATGCATTGCATATTATGTTAACGTAAAATGTATAGTAATATATTTCACAGTAAAGATACAATACCTTAAGATAAAAAACTAATGTATCACTCATAGTATGTAATTCATTGTATTGGTATACATGTTTTTAATCCTCCGTCGGTTGGAAATTTTTTCACCTTCGAACGGTCGCAGTGGTCTGGCTGGACCACCATTCATTTTACATGCATTTATATGGGAGAAGTGAGTTTTTGGTGTCTTATATGTTAACGATTATTAGTAGTATATACGTTTAGATTTTTTCTTTTTTTACCGTATTTTGCACGTGTTGCTTGTAATAAAAAAATAATATATCTTATTATATTATATGAAAAAATCAAAGAATATAAAAAAATCGTTGCTTTTTTATTATTTTTATTTTTCTGTTTTATATCAATGAAAAACAATATTTAATCTTTTTCGGCTCCTTCGAAATGAATGTGAAATTCAAATGAAAACGAAATGAGGTGCGTCGCCTTTGAAATGAGCTGTAAAATTCAAGTTGAAAATATAATTTCACTACAGGTTTGCCAAAAAAATTTTCGAACCCAGTACAAGTAGAAAAATTGTTGATAATGTGCGCATTACTCATCCGGTTTTCAATATTTGCGATGGTTTGGTAAGTTTTCAAAGAACTCTCGTCGTGAAAATACTAACATTCATGTTACAACACATAGCAAATAATATATAAAATGCAGTTTGAATAGAAAATACCAGAAAAAAAAAGACAAAATACTGGTTTACATATATCAAAAAGCGTATATTTCGTACAAAATGTATGGGTGGTCTAGACAGACCACTCCGACCGTTCGAAGTATAAAAAAGTTAATATCCTTATAATTATCCTTCTGTACATTTTTTTGTCCTGATTTTTTCATTGATCGACAGCTAATGAAATTTTAGGAAATGTCAAGAAATTTCAAGTCTATAGGATTACTAGAAGTATTTTTTTAACTTCCCGAAGGAGAAGTTTATGTTTTCATCAAAAAATCCGAATGGCTAATTTTATGTTTTCTCGACGTTTCAAGCCATTCTGAATCGAATGAGACCAAATTTGGAAAAAGTATGTGTGTGTGTGTGTGTGTGTGTATGTGAACAGATTTTTTGTCGTAAATCGACGTTTTCTCCAAAACGGCTGGAGCGATTTCAAAAATTTAAAAGCCATTTGATGTATCTCGATGAGGACTATCGTCTCTGAGTTTTGTGCGGCGATCGGCCGGGCCGTTTCTTTGTAAATTGCAGAAAAATGAAAAATTTTTCGCCCACGTTTTAGCCCGCAATTCTGAATCGATTCTGAAAATACAAAAACCATTCGATAGATATTCGTTGGGAATCGTGCTGATTAGTTTTTGGTAAAGATCGGCCGGGCCGTTTTCTTGTAATAACGTTTTTAAAAAAAAATTTTCGACGATTTTTATTTTTTTTTTTTTGACGGTAGATACCATAGTTTTCTAGGTCATACTAAAATATTACGGCCCTACGACAACTCGTTTAGCTTTAAAAATTCGTCAAAGTTTGCAAAAATTGGTATAGTTTTTTTGACATTTGTCAAAATTAGACTTTTGATCGACGTTTTCTCAAAAGCGCCTGAACCGATTTCAGAAATTTAAAAGCCATTTGATGTATTTCGGGGAAGACTATCGTTTGTCAGTTTTGTGCGACGATCAGCCAAGCCGTTTCTTTGTAATTTAAAAAAAAGTGTTAAACACTTCGTCCACATTTAAGCTCATCCTACCAAACCGATTTTAAAAAATCAAAAACTGTTCGAAAGATATTAGTTGGGAATGATACTGATCAGTTTTAGGTGAAAATCTACCGAGCCGTTTTCTTGTAATTAACCGTTGAAAAAAAAATTTAAGCCGATTTTTATGGAATTTTTTTTAGCGATATATACTATGGTCTTATAGAACTTACTGAAATATTACGGCCTTAAGACAAATCGTTTGATTTTAAAAATTCATCAAAGTTTGAGAAAATGAGTAGCTCTTTTGACATTTGTTAAAATTAAAATTAGACTATTTACTTGGTATAATGATAGAGTACTTGGTCTTGAACATAATAAATCATTAAAGTCCTGAAAACTGGTTCAATTATAAAAATTATTGATTTTTGAAAATTTGCTTTTAGAAAATACTCCGAGTTCGTTCGTTTTCAATTATGTGTAATAAATCCACTCGGAATACTTTTAATGACTCATAAATTAATTTATTTTTTATTGATTAAGTCGATTATTTAAATATATCGGGAAGTTCATGTAACTTGCCTCAAGGCTAAATACCAAACCAACTAGTTTTAATTGAAGTCGAAAAAAGTCTGGCCAGATCACGCCGACCGACGGAGGGTTAAATTAAATTCAAATGAAATTATTTAAAATAAAAAATGATGACAAATTGAGATACATTGTGTCGAGAAGTAACTAATGAATGATCCTATGCAAACTACGCAAATCTATACAAATGTAAGTAGAATTTTTCTGCAATCAACTTTTCGGTATCGATGAATATTCGAGTCGAGCAAAAATAATTTTGGATACATCAGAATTTTTAAAGTTATTTTAAATATCCGCATTTCATGCATGACCTATAAAAATTAAAATATTCTGTGTGAGCCTGAAATAGTTACAATGGGTTGATATAACTGTCAGTTTATTTTACTAGACTTTGAATTATTACACATACTATACGATCAAAGTGAATAGGACGGACCATTTATTAATGAATCCACATTGGGTTTAATTTATTCATACCTTTTATGGTTGTCACAAAATTACATTATCAAGCAAATAGATGTCATATCGAATAGAAGCATTTGGCATATGGTTCCAATCACACAATATTATTCCCGAGCACAATGTGTTCAATATTCCGAATGTATATCTCTGACTCGCATTTGAATTGGTTTGCATTCAATGTCGAGATTTCCTGTTGAAATACAAAATTCACATATTCATAGCGACTATTCTGTATTTATGCATATGTGCACACACCTATGTGTATTATGTGTGCTCAAACATTTATATGATGTATGAAAAATAATATTTACACTGGCAGATTTGAATTTATAGTTGAGAGCGCTCGTATGTTACGTGCATACAATATACTAAACGAGTTTATGCTGAAAAAGATAAAAGAGCATTTGTTTAAATTTAAATTACATATTCGTTAAAAATGCATTTACTGATTCTGAAAGTTGGCAAAAAAGTGTAATATCAAACATGTTAGATGATTTATTACATTGCTTGGGTTCTCTCATACATTCATAACACAAAGATTTACATTATCTTAATGTTCCAAGGAATATTAATATGGAAATACATTAAATCGCTCAATCTTCAACGACTTTGATGTTTAATCTTTAATTTGATGGTTTTCCAAAACTATTAAGACCAATTATCTTACTTGAATTCAATTCATATCTCATATAAAATCTGGAATTCAAATTATATCAAACACTTAAAAACTTTGCAAAATTTGACTATATGACTATATGCCTAAAACTCATGTTCATTCAAGTTGTTCATATTGATAAAATGTGCACAGATAATCTACTTCTAACTGAAATTACCTTTACTTTAAATTAAATATATCTCATAATATATTTAATTTAAATTAACTTCTCATTTAATTAATTGTTCTATTTTATGTACTCTTATACCTAAATTTGCAATTGCAGAAACAGTTTAAATGACTATTGCACAAAGTTAGCCAACTCTATACCAAATTTAATGTACTATTGTACATATTTAGAATATATAATATCAAATACATTTAGGTTTTTCTACGGAATATGAAAATTAATTCTTTAGCAATTAATTATTAAAAAAAAACTTTTAAGAATGAAAATTTTAAATCTTTTTTTAATTTACAGATGCTGCGTCAGAAGACGTGCTACATTGAAAATGTGCCAATTTATAGTGCAGAGCAACCGATATAATAGTTACTAATTGGTAAGCATATTAAATTTATTATAATATAATATTCTATAATTAAGTATTTAGATGAAAAACGGCATGGTACAAGGTAATCAATATGATTTTCAAATGATAACTACAGAAAATACTGCGTGTTTATTTCTAAGAACCTTTCATTATTTATAGGAAAGGTAAACTTATTATTATTATTTTTCTTGTGGAATGTTGTGGAATTTATTATCCTCACATGTTTCTTTTTTAATTATGAATATGAGCAAAAAAAAATTATTTCTGAATTAACTTATATACACCTATCAGCTTTAAAAAGATTTGTACTAAAAAAACATGTTTCAAATAGCGTGAATATGAATCAAACTATTATTATTTTTTAATAAATTATGTTTTGTACCTATATTTTTTCTAAATACAACGATAATTTTTACTGATTTTTATAAAGAATGGTCAAGTAGTTTTTGCAAAATATATTTTGATTATTATGAAATCGAAGAAAAAGTTCGTCCTTCATTATTTATTCATTATTTATTTTTATTATTATTCATTTATTAAATTTTTTACATAATTTGCATTGTGTATCTACCACTAATATCTTCCTCGAGTATATTTCAGGATTTTTTATGTTAAATTCGATATTGTTTATCATGCAATAATATTCCTTTTATATTTACAAACGCTTGATCTTTAAATTAACTGTTCATTTAAGAGGATCAGTTTATGAAAATTTTATATTTAGTAATGTTCTTATCGAAAACAATCTCATTTCATAAATTAAATTTTAGTTTAAATGACTGTTACAACATATTTAGAG